AAAAGACATCTTCAAGAAGATATCTTAATACTAAACGATAATAAATATTCCGGATGAAGTCTAAGATACGTTTCATTTAAAATACAAAATCCAATCAATTAGATTTATAGTCGCATATATATAAATGATTTTCAATGTGTGTATCAGCTAACACTTTTCGTTTAGTCTTACAGTGACTTAGAAATCGAATAACTGACATCATGGTTCATCTGCTTTGGATTATATTTTTTAACTTTTATAATATTCATTTAATTTACTATTAAAGGTTTATTATTGAATGAAAACTTTTGAAAATTAGAAATGACACAGACACATAAGCAACTATTGAATACATTGTAGGGATACTCGTTTTATATAAATAATGTAAATGGATCTTCTTACAGTATTTTAGTCTGTAAGAATAGTTTTTAAGGACAAGAAAAAGTAGGTCAGGTCGAATTCTTTTTGAAAAATAAACTTTATCTGAAAATTCTAGATAGTTTGCGTGTGTGCTTTATCCAGTTCAAAATAATATCATAATGCACAAAACAAATAATAATAGAATAATATGTGGAATACACTCATTAGGGTGTAAAAAAAGAACAAGGATGATTAATTGGGTGAAGAAATCTCTTTTCGATGAATACCTTCTCAAAATTGTTTGATAGTAAATTTACATGTTTGTTTTTTACCATGACAGGGTTTTTTCTCACTATTTCCTTTCTCTCAAGTAGTCGGTTGAAGTTTTGTATAGGAAGATTGAATATTACTATCGACACTCTGACACCACTGGTTACAGCAGTTTTATTATTTATCATCCTGTTAATACTGATTCAGTTGTAAAGACTGAAACTTTTAAAAATTTTAGTGTTTCAATATTTTAAAACAACAGTTAATACAAATTTTTAATTTATTGTAAGCGCATGTAATAAGAATTTAAAAAATATTACTAAATAATATGAACAAACTCAACGATTTAAAAACAGGTTTTACAATAGTTATTAATTTGTGGAAGCATTGGACGGCTGTTTCGTCCTATTGTGGGACTCCTCAGTAGTGCGCACCCACGACCCAGCCTTCCAAGACATTGGTAGATGTGCCGCTCAATTTCGGTTGAAGTTAGACACTAACACCGTTGGATATCGGCTCAGTGGTCTAGTGGTTAATCGCTCACGCACGAAACTGACAGATCCTGTGTTCGATTCTCGCGAGACGGGATCGTGGATGCACACTGCTGAGGAGTTCCACAATGGAACGAAACGGCCGTCCAGTGCTTCCAGGTTTTCCATGGTGGCCTAGCTTCAACTATTAAAATTACAATAATATCCACAAAACCCCTTCAGATATTAATTTATATAAAGGCTATTTAACTTTTAGTGTGTAAAACATACATCATTTTGACATGAATAAACTTTTGGTATAATGACTTTCATGTGAATTAATATTGTGTAGCTGTTAATTTCCCTTTAGTCAAAGGAGTTACATTAAACGAAAAAAAAACGCAGCAAGAACAATAAAGTTTGCAAAATAAAATCAATTCGTCTGTCTATTTCACGATTTCTCATTAGCTACATACGACCAAAAATTATAAATATTAATTTCATTATTAGCAAACGTTTAGTATACTTAAGAGAGAATAGATATGCAAAGTGTATTAATAAATATAGTTATGATCAATGTGCTGGAAAGTAATAATTCAGAGGTTATGTAAAAGTAAATAATTAATAAGTGGTTGCGTAATCTCTCAACATAATAAAATAAACAATTATTTGAACATCAATCATAGTATGTAAGCGACGAATATCAGAAGACGAAAGAAAAATAAAAAGTTGGGAACAAGGTTGAAAATAATTAAAAATTGGAATTAACGAAGGTTCTCAGACAAATATGCATTCACATTGGGAAGGATAGGCTAATCACACTTCTCTTCTGTATACATAAGTGAGGTCGAAAATGTTTGATAGCGATTGCCTCTGCCAAACGGAATAAGATTGATGTTTTTTTGTCCGCTAGTTGTTTTAAACGCATTACTCATACTTCATGTTCACTTCCCTAAAGGTGTCTGAGGATTGCACTTTTAAAGGTTTTACTTCCTTTCTCCTGTAGGTTCTAAGGAACGTATTCAGAAAACCTTTAAGAGCTCCTTCCTATAAACCTAATACCGTAGATGCATGGAATCCATGGACGCAATTAAAGGCGACGTCTGAAGTGTACTGATCTACCTAAGAATGGTATAACGAACACCTGGTGTTGTATAGTGGAACCAATTGAGCAACAGGGAAGCTTTTATCAATGCTGTCTAGGCTTCTCAGTCGATTCCTCCTGAAATATCATCTCGCCTGAACAAAAGGAGGACAAAGATAGGCTTCCTTCCAACAGCTAATAGCCAAACATCCTTGTAATGGTATTGTCCGTTTTTCGGCGTGGATTCCTCCGGGTATTTATATTTTATGAGGTGTTTTTTAGGATACTCAATTCCTCATTAGTTTTATCATTTGGGGATGACGAACTAGCTCCATTGGAAAACCATTGTACAATACACTTTGTAAGTGATACGGAAAAAGCTGTCAAACCTCAAGTACTGTACTGCACATTTTTCGTTCCAACACACACTTTTCTCAAGACTTTCATCATTGTTCCCGTCTTATACTAAGATCATGTTAAGCTACTATCCAACCACCTATTGATTTCTCTACCATTACATAACCTTTGTTGTTTTGATTATGATTACCAGTAACTCCACATCACGTTCTAACAAATAAATACACATCAGTTTTGATTATCTTTATTCATACACTTTGTAACCCTACTGTTCTGTTTATAATGATTTTGGTTACGTTTCGAACATCAATCTAAACTTTATAAACTAATGTGTGTTCATAATTTTATTATTAATTGTGATTCTAGGTCGTATGCAGTCGATGAGCAGTCGTGAAATAGACTGATGAATTGATCTTATTCTGAAAACCTTGTTGTTTTTGTTTTGTTTAAATTTACCAAGTGACCTGGTAGTATAAAAAAGTAAGTTGGGAAATTTGGATTATATTACTGCTTACAAAACATTATTCAAAATGAATGAATTGAGGATTCAGCTAATATTGTGATTAACATTAATTGTGATAGAATATAACCAAAATTATAACACGAGTGGTGCAGTATAAAATAAAAATAAAAATTAAATATTTGCTTTACAAAGTACGAGAATCATGTCAATAAATTTTCGGCATTTAAAAAACAAAACAATGTGTACATCTTATCATTTAGCTAACCTGTAATGAAGTAGCTGTACCAATAACAAGACCTAATGATTGACCAACTAAAGATGTTTGAATCGATATAATAAGAAATTGAATAAATCTTAAAGCATCATTTGGTTGTTCAGTCATCCAATAGGTAATACTAGCGTAGACAATAGGAAAAAATATCTAGTAAAGGGAAATATAAAAAGCAAGTGAATTAATTACGTAAGGTATTCTTTACATAGGTAATCAGTAAATGAGAAAAATTATGGAGGATCAGTACATTTAAAATAAACGATGTCAGACTAGGTTATTGAAAGTAGTCGACAGGAAACTTTGGAACAAAGTTGCATGCTTGCTGGTATTCGTTATTGCAATCTTGAGAGAACTCATGCTCTCTGTAGTGTTTAGAACAATGTTGAGCAACTTCATAGTCTGATATGTTATCAATAAGCCATTCTATCCACAACTTACCTTCTGTACGACTGAGATATTGGCAACTGATCGATCGCTGAGCAGTGATCAATGTTATGTCTGTCTAATCTCTTGGCGCTAATAGGATCCTGTCGGATGAGTTTAATGGTGAACACTAGTTTTAGTGATTCGAAGTCACTGACCACTTGCAAACAAATAACATCACAAAATAGTGCACGTGTTGGGTCACTCAGGCTAGTGGCCCAGACAAACATAACATTGGTTATCATTCAGCTATCAATCATTTAGAAATCACGTTTATTTATAAGGAGTAGTACAAAAGCTTATAGAAAATATTTGTCTGTTGAACATCATGAGAGATTTTATTATGCAACACAGTTGAACACGATTCTAGGCAGTTGTTTAACTAACAGCTCAATTCCTCAAGAAATAAAACAATAAGACAGTGTTTGCTATTGCGTGATGGCAAATTTAATTGTTTTCTCATTTATAGTATGGGATCCCATTACTTTGAACGTACACTTAGTAAGTAATCTAATTATCAATGAATACTATATTTTCATGATTAAAATCAACCTTCAACCACCGGTTTGAGTCATCTCATTGTAGGAACGTACATATTCATTTAGATACATAAATTATTCTGACAGCGAACTGAACAATGACAGGAATGTAATCGTGCATAGTCTACGTTATTTTCACACGAAGCTAAAAAGATCCACTTTTATTATTTGACCAGTAGGAAATAACTAGTGTCCAATTTTTCTTCTTTGGTTTCTGTTAATCAACTCAGCATTATTGATTTCTAACTGAATCCCTCTTAGGATTCAAAACTGAATAAACGTTTAACATGATTATCCAGTCGCTGGACTTGAATTAAATCAGGTGTTTTACGAATCCCCTACAAAATGCAACAATACTAGGCTCATTTGTAGAAATTAACTGTTGAACTCATGCAAAGTAATATTAAGAATGCAATAAGAAGTTCGTAAGTTTAAAATGTACAAATAATTAAGACTTACTTGGAATGGTACATCAGCCAGTGACTTTGCCATGTAATAGGCTTTTAAACTATACCAGGAATTTAGATGTTCACGGAAGAATATTGATATTTCAAGAGGAACTGGAAAAAGTAATCAACATGCCTTGGGGGTAACTGTTAGGTTAGCAAAACTAATGGGATATATTAAATGTAAACTGTTTCCTTTATTAACATGAAATTTATTTATGCTTAATTCTACTTTATTTTACAACCTTCGATTAATTGACATTATTTTTCATTGTTTTTCGACTCGGTCTAGCGTCAGAACACTTGACCTCTAGACCACTGAGCCAGCATCCAACGATGTTAATGTTTAACTTCAACCAATCAATATTTTAATTATTTTTAGCAATGGGAAAAATTATTAGAGTTTCAAAGTGAATGTAAAATCAGTGCTTACTTGATGATCGGAACATCAAGAATAATTGCTTTGAATATTTTGTAACACTTTCTGCACAATTTAATTTCAGCGTTGAATTATCAAAATACGAATTATTTGAAGATCTAGACTATTATCAACACTTGCTGTTCTGAGATAAGTATCTCGCATTATTTAAGCCTGAATTTTCGATGAAAAGACATTGTTTATGAGGTTATTTTCCACCACGAAACCAACACCACAAAATAATCTACTACTTTTTTCTACTACTACTGACAATGAGACTTTTCTAGGATTTATCTTGATAATTCTATCTCCAAGTGATATGATAACTTCAATCTATGGATATATGCGACAGATTCTATGTTATTTATAACCGACTGGCAGTGGTGCGGTAACGTGACTTCTATGAATAAGATAAGTGTTAAACTACTGTAGTCACAAAGTTCAACTAGGACTGGATTAAGGAGGTAGAACCTATAACCGATTGAACCAAAACTATCTGTATAGGTTTTTGAAGATTTCTGAGCTTTACTAAAATCGTGAACTGATCAATGTTGGATCACCACTGAACAATTGGAAGCGCTGGGTGGCTCAATGTAGTGGATTGATTGGGGGTAGACATCATTACAGTTAGATGCCGGTTAAATGGTTTAGATCTTAAGCGATCGCACGCAAAACAAAAAGTCTTGGGTTTGATTTCCACCTGAAAAATCATGGATACTTACTGCACCAGAGCCAGGGACCGAATGGCTGTTCAATGCTTCCCGATGAATAGTGGCAGTCTAACATTCTTCGGTTGATCGTTTCAGCGAATCATAACTGTCATTCACATATAAAACCTTAACTCATTACATTATGGGATATAAAGTAACAAATATTCAGTCAAGTTACAAGGTAGCTAATTTTCCTTAATTTCTCTCTGTTGTGTAATACAAATGATTATTTATTTTTACGATTTAAATTTTGTTAACTTTATCTTTGAACTTATAACTGCTTATATGTCTGATCCCAAGATAAAATGTTTTTTATTGTATCATGTTCACCAAATTAAAATGGTGAATTGATATTAAACTGTTTATCAATGACGATTTCCTAAAAATGTGATAGGCTCTTCTTAAGCGATCGATATCTAATTCATTATAAAGCACTAAGAAAAATGAGTTTTAGAAACTTCCTACCTGGAAAATAGTCCATAATTATGCAACTGCATTACCTAATAGAATTTTTCGTAGGACTTTTTTTCTGTATCGAATTTATTTAGGCATCGAGTTAACCTGGAATAATATGCTACTGTATAGTCGGAAAATGGATGCTTATTTCAAACTGACAATTGAAAAACTATTAAAAATGACAACCACCAGATTCCAGCTCAGTGATTTTATAGTATAGTACTCATTGTAATAATTTAAAAACTTTAATTCTATCATGTGGACAAAATAAACATCCATCGATCGACCTATAATTTTCACTGGTTCGCCAACACACGTTACATTCAAAACAACTGTGAGCGCTTTAATGTAATAGGATATATATACGGCTTATAGATAAGTGATTCCGATTAGGTATTTACTACATCATGTTACATAAATGCAAATCAACTGAAAGCAAACAATTAGTCTTTAATTCTATGCAAAAATTTCATATTTTTTTATTTGACTATTCTGTTGTTGTTTTTGATTGGTGAAATAAGCTTTTAGTGGATAAATGAGTTAACTAACCTGATAACCTAAATAGCAATAAAGGTTATTGATTTTTTGTACATTCCGTATCTAGTGATTAGTTAGTAATAAGGTGAATTTTGTGACTGTTACTAACTAATTGAAAAATAAATAATTTCCTGTAGCCTAATTTAGATTTTATCAAATATATTTGTATTCATTAGTTTAAATTATGTTTTTCGTGTTTGTTTAGCTTCAAATTACTTTCTGATAAATTTTGTTAAATATTTTTGATGTCCTAATAATCCTTTATCGTCTTATCCAAACTTTATTCTCCTTAAACAGATAAGCTGGATTCTACAGGTTGTTTAACTTTATCAAACAAATGATTCCTAAAAGCATTCGATTCTGATGGAATATTTGAATAATCTTTTCTAGTTCAACAAAACACTGTGAAGTTTAATATAAGTATGATTACTTGTGAGGTACCTGAATTTAAAAGCATGTAGTATGTTATAAGTTCAGCAAATAAATTTACTTATTTTCATGGTTGAGATCATGAGTTGATTGAAGCTATACCGCCATGGAAAACCTGGAAGCACTGGACGGCCGTTTCGTCCTATTGTAGGACTTTTCAACAGTGCGCATCCACGATTTCGCCTCGCGAGATTCGAACCCAGGAACTACCAGTCTCGCACCAGAGCACTTAAGCGATAGACCACTGAGCCGACATCCGATGGTGTTAATGTCTAACTTCAACCAAATTTACTTATGTCTGGTAAAGTATGTGTTCCTGACAATTTTTTGCTGGTATGATGAGTAAAAACATCTTATATACGACTAAGACAATGAAGCATATTATTTGAATTTTAATGGAAAGGTTAATATTCCTTTATCCTGGCTTTCCTAGTTTTATGCAAGTAAAGTTATTATGAGAATATTTAGGCAATAACTTTTCATCTCCTGTTCTGAAAAAATAAGTTATCGCCGAGTATACATAATTTCACATGATTGATGATTTGCTTGAAGACTCTAACAGCAAGTGAGTTATAATAGGAAAATTTCTACTAAAACAAAATCTTTAGTAGCTTTGTATAATATCTACTTGAGAATAGTTCTGTTTTGCATGTGTTTCTGATAAGATTAACAGAGTTAATATCAAACATTTTGTAAAAAACAGTAGAGTTCAAAGTCAAATAATGGCCCTTACCATCAGCTATTACCAGAAATAGGGAAAATATTGCAATATGAATACAAGGTAAAGTTTATTAGCAGTTACTATGAAGTTCATTTGCTTTAATAACAATGGAACAAGAATTCACAAATAATTATGACTAAGAGGTTAAGCGCCCACACACAAGATCAAATATTCTGATTTTGATCCCTGGTTGTATCGTGGATGCACACTCTTGAGGTATCCCATAATAGGACGAAACAACTGTACAGTATTTCCTGGTTTCTAGTGGTTGGCTAACTTAGATGATGTCGTAAAATCAATAGCATTCAATAATATCCACAAACCTGTGTACCAATAAATATTTGGTTTTAGTTTATCATAACAGAACATTGCCAGAGATCAGAAATAATCACTTATACTTACATGTCATCACAGTTGGCATTAATGAAGCAAACATAAGGAATAGCAAAGTAAAGAAGACGAATGCTGCATTACTTATCACTTCATAACCCAAATTACCGACGCGAAAATATAAAACACCGATTAATATTCCAACAACAATATGTGAAACCAAACGCAGATGTGTCAATGTCTGAAAAAATATTGAAGAAAATATGTGATAATCGAATAAAATAATCAGTAGTTATATATACTGGTGATTTATAAACAATTTAATGTTTTGATAAATGAATTTAATTGATTGTTAACTTTAAACAAATGATCTTCCGTCTCGATTATCAGTAATTAGCTTATTCTGTTTTACAACACAAGTTTGAACTATTTACATCAACCTATTTCGCCAAGTATAAACAAGACTATTAAACTTAATCCGATTTGAAATAGACTGGATTATCCCTTTGTTGATAATTTCGATGTAGGTGCATGCAGCTGACGAGTCTCAAATTGGACCAAAGGTGAATCTTGGATTCAGTTGCTAGTCACGTACCCTTTCTTAAATGCTATTAAAAATTTAGATTGTAAATAGAATAATACATGGTGTACATGGACGCCTGTTCTCGTATATTTTAAGATTTTTTTAATTAAATACACCTTTGCCATAAATTTTAAAAGGATCTCCACTTTGTTGACTTTTATTATAACTGCGAGTAAAAAGCGTGTTGTTTAGAAAGTCTTAAGCAGCTATTCGTTTATGCATATGGAAAACGGTATTTTGAATTATCATTTCACTGATTAAAAGGGTTTTTAATATCCACTTTCAATCGTTATGTAATCTCCATCCGGAATGAGACTTTAAGCTAGCCGTAATACACAGACTATCATTTTAAATAAACCATTCCATACAGACTGCAGTCATAGCTGCATAGTTAAAGTTTTGTTAGAAGTTGGGATTTGCAGATGTAGACAGTCGGTTAATTTAAATAAAAACTAGTCGTTGTTTCAGTCACAAATGAAGTAGAATTTTTAAATGACAAAAAGAAATGTTTCTCATCAATTATCGCAAAGTATTTTAGTTTTTGATGAAGCTGATTAAATGGAAATCATACAACAGTTTTATATAGGAATAATATACATTTGTAAAATCTCAACGAATGAATTTGTAGTAAATCCAACGTTTCGCCTGGCAATCTGGTCCAAGCTTTTTCAGGGAATTATAATCAAACATCAAAATTATCGAATATAAATAGGTACATTGTTCTCCGGGTTCATTGTACACTGAATAGGTCATCCAATCAACGTTAACAATGTCTAAACTAGGTATGTGTATTAGTGTGTAAGAGGTGTGTGATGTGAAATGATAGGTGTTCATATAACATATTGTATAGAAAACGTAAGAGGTGAGAGGAGAAATTACATTCACATTAGATATTGTCTCTTATCAGTGAATTTATAAGGAAAAACATACAATTTGTAATATATGATATGAACCATACAACAGTTTATCAAACAAATACTCAACCTAAGCAAATAAATTTTATTGAAATATTTATAAGGAAAATGGGAAAAAAAGTGTAGTAATGAACTGATTAAGGGAAATATGAAGCGATCTCATACTGTTATGATAATCACCAAGAGAATAAATCAATAAAGGGAAGAAAACATAAACGAAAGGTTGAGAATTAGAGAACAGGTTAAGAAACTGCTTTTTGTTCAATAACATGTGATTAAAATAAAAGTCAATAAATAGAAAAGTGAATGAGAATGTAAGTACTTTTCTACCTAAAAATTTTCAAATATCTTCAACTTAGAAATAATACTTTTATTATCTTCTGAATAAAAGAAATAAGGCTTAGAAATAGATATTTTGAGAAACTGAGAAAATAACACTAAACATTATGTAAATGAAATATGAATTCAGATAGAACAGTCAAACGAACTTTTTTGGTAAATTTAAAGAGTAATGAAAACTGTTAACTGTACATATTTAATTCCTCATATATAAAAACTCGGATATTTCATACCTACGACAAGTAGATCATCGTTTCAACACACAATCTTATAACAGATAACATTTTTGACTGTAAACCATTTTGTGTAACATCATAAGAAAATTACGACATTCAGTTAGTGACTTATTAACTGATGACATTTGCTCCCTTTTCCTCTCTCCGGTCTTGAAACTGTCAGAACTCTAAATAATTTCTTGAAATAAAATGTTTAACCATATCCAGAACAGATATTGATCCCTAACTTACATCAGTTCGAAATAGCAATGATGTCCATTTAAGTAGTACGGATCTAACTACCACTGTCGAATGATTCTATTTTAGGTTGATCAAGAAACTGAACTGTATACAGATATTTGTTTACTTTTCAAACCGAAAAGTCTGTAGACTTTGTACGTAAATCCAAAGATTAATTGTTATCGAATTATCATCGAAGACACATTCATACTGAGGAATATTAGCTTTGATCCTCGAGCTAATATGTTTATCGTAATTACCAAACTATTTTCAGTAGTTTATAAACTCCTAGTTAGTTAATTTACTTAAGTAATAAAGTTATGTAATTAGAATAATGATAAGGAACCCCTAAGTTATGGTTGAATCCATGAATCATGTGCTCTTACTGATAAGTTATTTGTCCAACTATTAGTTATTATCTTCTCCGTTATTTTTACAGTGTAAAAAATCAAGTGAAGAGTAGTCCTTATCCTTTCCATTGCATTCGCCAAATATACAACGAAAGGAATAAGTCAGAAGTGTAGTGGTTTAACACGATCTTGATTACATATACATCTAAAGTAGAGAGAAGATAACCAGCTTGAATATAAAGTAAAAAACTGAAAGCTTATTGGTACTAACTGAGAAGATATTGGGATTATCTCAGTGACACGTTAAATGAAACAAATCGGTATATGTAGATATACTCTCATAAGTAAAGTATTTTTAAGTATTGTTCGATAACACCGCAATTATTATGATAAACTGGTATAAATTGTGTGACTTACTGAATCACGCATAATGGAAAGTATATTTCTCACCAGTAGAACCCGAAATTGGGTTAACTGATTTGCAGCAAACTCTCGACTAGGATCATCGTACTAAAAATGGAAGTAGAAATGGATTTGTTTCACTAAACATAAAACAAAGATAATATTCTTATATACTTATTACGTGTGCTATACTTTAATAATGATCTTTCAGTCATAAAGAAGACTTCAATAACTTTACAATTCGATGAAACTGAACGAATGTGTCACATATTTTTTAAAACAAGATAATTTAGATATTAAAGAGGAAGAATGAATTTATAAAATATCAGCAAGTGAATTTGAAGTAAATCCAACGTTTCGCCTAGCAATTTGGTTCAAGATTTTTCAAGGAAATATAATCAAACATCAAAATTATCGAATATAAATAGGTCCATGGGTCTCTGGTTCATTATATGCTAAATAGGTCTTCCAATCAACGTTGACAGTCTTTAAAGTAGGCATTTGCTTTGGTGTGTAAGAGACTTGTGATGTGGAACCGAAAGTGTTATGCTAACAGATTGTATGTAAACGTAAGTAGTGTTAAGGGATTCGAATCCATAATGGTGCCTCGTTAAAAACCTGCATTCAGAAACACAGAATATTTGAATTACATCTACCGATCGGTATTCATTTTATTTACTCAGACGATTCAAAATCCATTCATTAAATCATCGAATTCTCCTGGATGGCACTTTCAGTAACTGGTCTAAGGTTACTAGGGTAACACTAAGCTAACAGAAAAAAATCACTTTGTTTAATGAATTAAAATCAGCTTAATCTTCATAACATCACGAAGAGTACAAATATCTGTTACCGTATCAGTGTAACTGGAAGCGTTATTTAAACAACATAGCACCATCAAAGATATTCTCACCCATAGAACAAGTCATTAAACTTTCACCGTAATCGTGAACAGAGCCAGTAAAGAGCCAAAGGGAAGTTTAAGATGAAAAAGATTGTTTGATAACGGGTTATGAAAGATAGCCTTCTATTTACATATGGTTACAATTTAGACGTACATCTTTAATCAGTGAACTGGATAAAGTATGTAATAGTAAGCTAACAGTAAAAGCTTATGTATATAATAAAAATCAGTTTCTGTCCTGTTATTATTTTCTATAAAAGATTCGTCTACAGGGTAGATAGATAATAAATCAATTTGTTGTTTTTGCAAAATAACAATGGAAAGACAAGCTATATTGGTAAGAGAAAAATGCTCTAGACAATAGACCATTGAACATATTAAGTCTTTTTCAATAAACAAATAGTTAGAAACACTTTGGGTGTATCAACGAATATTTAGATAATATATAATTGACTATATACAAATGAAACAGAACAATTAACTGAATATTCCATTCATACTCTGATAAAACATTTATCATAGAATATTATCATTATCTAAATAGCTGTTAGGATTTATTTTTATTCCTACGTGTAGGTTTATAAACAGAGGGCTATTTAAAGCTGTAATCAATTCGTCATGATGACTATATAAAGGAAAATTCTACAGAGTTCAGAAAGATGTTTCGCAGTTTCATTCTCACAATGAGTGGCACATTTTATAAATGTGTACGTAATTAGCTCCCATAGAATATTCACAAATCCAACCAAATTATTAAAAGTTGATTATTTATTGCTTATTTATTATCCAGAGTAGTCATCACATTGTTTTTGTGTACTTTATTTATTTTCTTACCTTAACCTGTCTAGTTGACCTTTTAATTTTCATATAAAAAATGTCTTAACAAGTATATGTGTGATCAGATTGTTCGAAATGTATTGCGCTAATATATCACATAATTCTGATAAACTTCGTCTTCTCATTGCATTATCGAAATTTATCAAAGGGACTAATTGTTTTAAATTATTAAAAGTCAAATTTTTAACCCTACTTAAGTAAACTTTATAGATTTGTGATTGTGAATCAGAACAACATATATAAGCGAACAATTGTTTTCAATTAGATTGTCATCAGGCTTTACTCTAATATACATGAATATTTATACGAATATGTTTAACCAATTAAGGCAATTCGAGTCAATAATCACAATAAAACACATTGCGTCAACGGGCATAATAGTTAAAAGTACAAGTTGATATTGGGAAGACAGGTGTACTGGTAGTAGTAAGAATACCAAGCTACGATAACAAAAGTCATATCAATCTATACGAATATTCGTCAAGATTAGAACGAATAGTTTGACAATAATTGGGCGCCGAGTATAGAGAATTCATTATATTTGAAAAAATTTATATTTCAAATAGTCTCAGCGATCGAAATTTAAATAATTCCAACGTTTCGTCCAGCTTACTTGTCTCGACGTCTTCACGGAAATAATCAAATTCAAAAACATCAAGAAATATATACTGTTTTTACAATCATATCAAAATCTCTAATACTTTTTAATCCAATCATATTTAGATGTCGAAGTTTTTGTAAACAGGATAATATGAGTCAGTTGAATGAGAATCAAGTGAAAAGTTCAACGATGTGAATTAAACGAGACTGCATGAATTTAGTGTGTGTATGTATGTATATGTGTAAGATGAGTTATTATTGAATGATATTCAGTGTTGAAATGTTTCTATGTGAAGTAAAATAGGAATAAAAGTGCAAAATGAAGGTTGAAATGTTTTTCTCCTTTCGGAATCATCGAAGTTGCAAATAAAATGAGAATCATCAAGTACATAATTGCAATGTTAAACATAACTCATATTGATTTAAGTCTTAATAACGATTCATGTGAAGTAAACAGGTTGAATAAAAGAAAAGGTCAAATTACTTGTTGATGAATATTTGCCAAGTGGTAGCTAGCTGAATACCATCCTTTCTGTTTAGGCTGTTCTTATTCGCCCATATATACAGCGCTTCTGCTGTCAATCTTTCTTTGTGAGTGTTGAAACCTTTCTGAAGTATTTTGGCCCCTTCAAAATTAATCATGTGTCCCGTTTCCAACGCATGTAACGCTATTGCAGACTTATTCTCAAGTTTCTTTAAGTCAACTGAGGTTTTGGGAACGTTTTTTAAACACTGTTTGTGTTCCTTCAACCTTACCTTCAATTTTCTGGATGTTTCTCCAATATAAGCCGCATTACAATCATGACAATTGATCTCATAGACAATATTTTGTTGTTCTTCCTTTGGTAACCTATCCTTAACCTTCACCAATGACGATCTTATAGTGTCACATGTTCTAAAATACACTCTTATATCATGTTTGTTTAAAATCCGTTTGATTTCTTCCGATGTTTCGCTACGGTATGGTATGACTACAGTGGACTTCCAATCTTTCTGTACATGTTGCAGTTTAGCTTTTCTTTCCTTTCTAACAATCTTCTTTAAAAACTCTTTTGGGTAGTTGTTATCCCTAAGTGTAGCTAAAATCCTATTCAATTCAAATTGTTGGTCTTCTTCATCTGTAACAAGCTTCAGACTTCTGTTAATTAAATTTTTAACAACTGTGACTTTCGTACATAAAGCATGCGCCGAATCAAAATCTAAGTATCTATCTGAATGTGTTGATTTTTTGAAAACATTTATTTTCAACTTCCTATTATTAAGTCTTCGTTCAACCATACAGTCGAGAAATGTCAGTTTGTGGTCATCAGACTCTATTTCCTTCGTTAGATTAATTTGTTCCGAAATGTTGTTAACATTTGCAAACAATTCTTCCAAATAGTCCTGTTTAATGATAACAAAAATGTCATCTACATACCGTAGCCAGACCTTTGGTGGACAAACACTTCTTGCGATTGCACTAGTTTCGAGTGAATGCATGAATAAATTCGCAACAATCGGAGAAACTGGTGAACCCATAGCTATACCTTCTTTTTGTCTGTATAGATCTCCTCGAAATATGAATAAGGTGGACCTTAAACATAGTTCCAAACACTTGATAAACTCAGATGGATCTAACGGGCAACGTAAATGTAAATCCAAATCAGATTCTAAACAAGCATAAATAATATCCAACGCTCTGTTGACAGGTACGTTAGTAAATAAGGAAGAAACATCAAGAAAGGTTTCAACACTCACAAAGAAAGATTGACAGCAGAAGCGCTGTATATATGGGCGAATAAGAACAGCCTAAACAGAAAGGATGATATTCAGCTAGCTACCACTTGGCAAATATTCATCAACAAGTAATTTGACCTTTTCTTTTATTCAACCTGTTTACTTCACATGAATCGTTATTAAGACTTAAATCAATATGAGTTATGTTTAACATTGCAATTATGTACTTGATGATTCTCATTTTATTTGCAACTTCGATGATTCCGAAAGGAGAAAAACATTTCAACCTTCATTTTGCACTTTTATTCCTATTTTACTTCACATAGAAACATTTCAACACTGAATATCATTCATTAATAACTCATCTTACACATACATACATACACACAATTTATGCAGTCTCGTTTAATTCACATCGTTGAACTTTTTCACTTGATTCTCATTCAACTGACTCATATTATCCTGTTTACAAAAACTTCGACATCCAAATATGATTGGATTAAAAAGTATTAGAGATTTTGATATGATTGTAAAAACACTATATATTTCTTTGATGTTTTTGAATTTGATTATTTCCGTGAAGACGTCGAGACAAGTTAGCTGGACGAAACGTTGGAATTATTTAAATTTCGATCGCTGAGACTATTTGAAATATAAATTTTTTCAAATATAATGAATTCTCTATACTCGGCGCCCAATTATTGTCAAACTATTCGTTCAAATCTTGACGAATATTCGTATAAATTAATTAATTGATGTTTGCTAGTTTGTTTGTTTTTTGTTGTTGTTGAAAAATGCCATTCATTTTTCATTTTAATATCTATTTCAGTTCAAAATTCACATTACCAACTTTATAGAAGTGCAATGATAAACCAATGAAGAGGTATTATTTACCAAACAACTATCTACTTTTAAAATTGATTGTAAAATACATTTCTAGGCAATTTAACCCTTTAAACCATAATCTTTCCGATTACTTCTTATACTCTTACTACCTCAACTACTATGGGATTGGAATCGATAACTGCGTTGGCGTTTGAAGCGAAAGGTACTGGGTTCGAGTCCCAGAGTGAACATCAACTCTGAGATGCAGATACATCCAGCTAACGAGTTTCAAATAAGACGAAACGCGCATCCTGGATTCCACTACTAGCCACTATCCATTTTTGCTCATAATGCTTATGAATGAAGACTATGTCGAGGCAATACGCACATTATGCACATATGCCAATAGGAGACTGACCAGTTTCAGTCCTAAACATCAATGGGAAGATGCAAACAAGTAATACTTAGTGAATAATAATATTGTTACCTGTTCTTATTGTAAGATAACAACCAATGAACTATTTAAACAAATATATAGTTACATTACAACTTTTGATACGCATCATCGTAAAATCTACAGGTTAAGTAAATAGTCTAAATTATCTATAATTACGTTTAAATATTTTAGACTTATGTTTTACACAAAAGACATTTAGAAAAAGAACAAAATTAATAGTTTGCTTTTAGCTTATGAAAATCATCTTAACAAAACTAAGTTTTATTTGTATGTTAGATAACATATTTTTGTCTAAATTTTAATTCATTCATACGTTTTAAGCATGCGAATGATGTTTGACTGATCTATTTCAATGTAATATGCTGTAGTGAAGTGTAAATATTAAATGTTCTATTTCACAGAATGTAAATAGAATGCTTGTCAAAAAAATGAAAAGTTGACACTGACAGGTAGTTTATCTACAGTTTGAACTAATAGAAAGAATATTTTTAAACTTAAAATCCTTATGTTTAATGTTAACTGAAACTCTATTGCTTTCTCCAAAGTCACCCTTTATCGTTTAAAAATGTATTTATATAATATCACTTGCAAGGTGATGATTTTATTTAAAATGACGTGTTTAAATTGCATTTCAATGTGAACTGGTATATTATGTTTTTAAATGATCATAGGTCATGAAAGTGCAGCTTATTGGAAAAAGGATAGTAATCCATTTACGTATCAATAATTAGGACTACCGATTGTATTTAATATCACTGAAATTATTAAGCTTATCATAACAGATGCAACCTTATAAAAACAAAGATTATTCTTGAATTGATTCACCATATATATATATATATATATATATATATATATATATATATACTGTAATCTATGTTTTCGGAATTACATAATCAAACAGTGAACATTGTTCATAAAGATAAACACAATAATATAACTCACTTTTATACAATCTGAATTGACTAGACCTTGATCTATGGTATGTATAGGACCATTAGGATGAGGTAGAAGTACAGACATTTCAATATGTGATGGTGATTCTTGCTTTGAAGTTAAAAGTAAATAAATATATAAAATAAATAGCAAAAAAACATGCAATTTACTTTATTTCCAATATATATTTAAATAATGCACTACTTTTTACACTTCAAATGTGTATGATATCTTTCAAATTCACACCTTACTGATCATAAGGAAATGTCGGATTCATATCTGATTCATTACAATGATTCATACAAAAAAGGCATATCATTATTTTTAGAAAGAGTTCAGATTATTCTGTTGTTGATAAGACCGAATTTTCATTAGTCTTTGTTAAAATATATACCTTCTGTGCAGATTACCTCAATGTATCCGTTTTTTACAAGTATTTTATAAAATAGACGGATTGTAGCTAGTAGTGCAACTCAGCATGCACATTTCATCCTATTTGGGATTAGTCAGACGGATGTAATTGGATGTCAGTGTTGATGTTTATTCCGGAATAACTCAAACCTTTTCTACTAATGATACAAACGACATACTCGTTTCACAAGTAAATGGCTATTAGGGCCAAGGTTGCAAACATCAACACCGGAACAAAGATATATCCAGTTGACCAGTTTCAAATAGGCCAAGAACAGGCGTTCTGGAATTCACTGCCAAACACTAATTCATTTATTCTGCTAAAAGTAGTTTATTTTTCTTTTAACCCAAGTTATTGAATCTCATTAAGTATAAACTGTATAAAGTCAAAATTAAAGATTTTAATGTGATAGACATTCGTTTGAAAATAAAAGGCTGTAATTACACAGGTATTATACAGAATTACTAATCTGAGGTATGACCTTTTATTAAATCATGTTTGAGAACCTACTGTAGATTCCATAATGAATGATTGAAAATCCCTATTATGAATTTGTTAATTTAATATTATTTTTCACAATTAAAAAAGAAAAATATAATAAGTTAAACAACGTGATAAAATATGAATCCCTAAATTTCGGCTAGATGCTCATTTCAAAAATGTAATTTTTTTAACCACGCGCTAACACCTACTGAAAAACTATTAAAGAAAGAAGAGAACTAAAAAGATGATCTGATTTTTAATTGAGAGTTGCCAGAGGTGTACACGCTCGACGTCAAATACAACAGAACCTCAGACTATTTAGATCTTCTACTAAGTACATTAACATTCCGTTAACACGACGCAATCTAGTTCTTTATGTTTTTCGTTATGGCCAACTTTATTTCAAGACTTCGCACTGATACTCATTTAAATAAATTACAATTATCCATCTATCAAACCGACCTACTTAACAATAAATCTTGCGAATAAAGTAATTTTTTAGTGACTACTAGAAAAACGTAATTACATTCCGAAAATACATTTCTTGCAATGAAAAAGCAATACAAAGATAAAGTAATATTGCACTTATAAACCTACACTTTTTACAATTTGTTTAGCTTTTTTCTTTTTATCATCATGTTTAATAATAGGTGAACAAAATGACGGCGATGGTGATGACGATGAACCATGATCTCTGGAAGGTATAGTGTCAGAAACTATTTGAATATTATCTATTGGACAATCATTTGTTTGAATAATTGTTGAGTTAAGAAATACTTTTTTCTTTTTTAAATAATCTACAATTTCATCTAGTGTTTGACGACGCGCAGCCATCGCTAATCGCATATAATGATCACCATATTCACCACAAGCCACTTCCATAACTGTTACGTAATGTTAATAAAAAGTAGATAATGTGGAATTAATCGTTCATTTGTAATCATATTAACTCAAAAAATGAAGTTTGATTACTTGTTTATATGATAATGATTTTTGTTCATCTATATGGTCTAATAAGTTAGAATTTACCATTCAATAAATACACAAATTAATTTACCTATGATAATAGTAATGGGAAATATAAGGGGAGTAAATTGTAATATTTTGTCATTTCAGGCGATTTAGGTTGAACCCAACTATCAGACAGAACAAGATACCTTGAATCTGTTAGGTTAGATTTACTAGACGAGTTCGAAACAGCACAAAAAATGTGATCTGAATCCCAAAGCTAAATACGATATAGCCGCATCTAATTATGGAGATATTTCATTGCTTTTTCCTCTTCAAGATTCTATTCGTCATTATGTCCACAAAAAATAAATCATATTTATTAAAACAGGTTAAATAATGAAAATTTTGAAGTTAAGGGTACATTACCAGATAGCATATAATGAATGACTCAAACTACAAACCACCTACCTTTTTGTTTGAATAGATTTCACTCTTATACAATTTAAAGTTTTAAAAAGATAATGTAAAACATTTGTGTTGGAAAACAATTTGTTTGCGACCATCTCTACACAAATGTAATATTCATTTTCATGGGGTACGTTTTCATTCACTTAAAGTTCATCTAGCGTGAAGTCTCACTAAACTGAACGTAATTCATATTTCAAAATCCTTTCATATATACGACAGTTTCACACCAAATGTACATACATAATCATTTTAAAATAAATTCATTCATTAATTTTATTGCATTCTATATTCTCTCAAACTTCCGTTAGAATAGTATTGATACAGTGGAACAATTAGCACAGACTTTCTTAAACTAATAAACCACAGTTAATTGTGACTAATTGTAATCGAATTTTCTGAAGTTTGTTAACTTCGAGCAATGTCTGGTAGCATTTTTGGACATAATTACTTGAAATAGATTGATTTATCAATTATACAGTCATAATCTGCACAAAAAATCTAACAACTGACTACTTACATTACCTTAAGAGTAATTAACGTATGATTGACTTGTTTGTTATTAAATTTTATTGAATATGTGTGCCAAATAGAGAGGTTTGAATTTAATTATTGAAAAATAGTAACAACTTACAATAATCAGCAGGATTATGATAAGATGGGCAGATTAAATCTTGTGATGCGAGGTAAGGGACTAAACATGAAACAGGTCCTCTATAAATACAATGACCATCAGTTAAGAAGTATAACTGTAAATAAAAAGAATGCAGTACGTATGAATTAGAAAATGAACTAACTGAAAGCATGTAAATGCTATCCGATGACCTGTTGTTACCATAGTTTCCTATTAGATTTTTGAACTGTGAAGGTGAATCAGTTGGTTAAGTGAAATACTAAAATGATCAAAATCGATCAAGTAGGTTAATTTTAACCAGAAATATCAGGAACAAGAATGTAAAACCGTAACGTTAGTTCATGTATTCCTTTTCCAATGTTTCCTTCACTATTCTTGTGAAGCGTCCTTTGTTTATTTATCGATTAATATTTACCAAAGAATTTGTGATTTTAACTATTGTTTTCCCGACCAATTAAAAGGGTAACATAATGTTAAACGTATACATCCATATTCATTTGAAAGCCCGGACAAATCAGTGAATTGTATCAATAAAATTAAACTAGAATGTTTTCATAGTTGGTTAGTTGACTATTAAGCATATTGCCTTTTCTCTTGTGTAATAGGATATTTGAGGATAAATCTCTGATTCAGCATTAATTTCTGTTTTCTTGTAATTTTTTAAAGTGGTTATTATTATCGCTATTAGCGTAATCATTTGAATTATTTTTTCTGGATGGAGAATGCTGGTGGGCGGCTTATGCTCATCCACGAGGGGTAACAGGCGTAAGTAAGTAATTAATCATTTACTTGAATGTAATAACCTTGAGGAAATGATAGATCATTAGTTATATATATATATATATATATATATATATATATATATATATATATATATATGTCTAGTTACCAGCTAGTTACAAACTGTTACGATCAAAAGTAACGTTGCTTTGAAGAAATAAGTAGAGCATGAAAATGAATTTTAATGTAAAATACCAATTGACTATTGATTGAATATCCCAGTAAATAACAGGGAAAAGATTGAATTTCGGTGTCAATTATAGTGTCAAAATGTACAAGTCACTAACTAAAGTTAAACATAATATGAATGAATTTTGTTCGATTTCGTCGGTGTTAAAACCGTATGCTCATGAAGAAATGAAACAGTGAAGTATTGATTGCCAGTTGGTGTGAGAACCTTTGACGTTTTTTGGCGAAATCGCCAACCTTCTCGGGTCTTAAAAGGACAGTTTTGGAACAGGCAGAGAGTTGATCAGATGTTTCACAGAGATACAACTGGGGAATCTGATGAACGATAAGCTGTCAAACGTTACTAGATGCTGGAATACAATAGGGGAGACGAAATTAACTCATTACATTCATGACTACCAGACTAAGCCTTATGAACGCGGATGGTTTTATAGCTAACATTCGTTGAATGGAAGAAAATAAGAATGGAGATTAAAGTTGAATAATTGATAGACAACTTAAACAGTAATATCCTCTCACTCTGGTGTCATAAGTAAGCGCTAAAATCAAATAGACCCATATTTACTTTGTGATTTAAGTAACTGTAATATTTTCCCGATTACATAAATAGTTACTTTAATTAATATCAATACAGAAAATTTACCAAGATAGTCAATAAGTAAATAAAAAACATAACTACTTTTGCAAAGTCCTGTAAAATATAATGTGCTCTAATATTAACATGATGATGTACTTACTTTAATATAATAAGCTTATGGAAACGATCTGCGAAACATCATTCATAACTTAAGATATTGTCTTATACGTTTGGCAATTAATATGCTATAGTATGATGTATAACCGTTCATGGGTCATTTCATTAATGTCCAGATCAAGTAAATTGGTAAGTTTCAGATCGAAAAACTTGGGGAACTCATACAGCAATATATTTAACCTGTTTAGTCTGAGCAATAATTATGTTTAGAAGATAAGAACATTTGCATTGTGGAAGGAGTTGTAGTACAAGTGGTTCATTCCAATGGTTTCCGTAGTCAAATATTTTTGTGAAACGTTCATCTTTGCACCAACTATTGGTGTCACAGTAAACAGAGTGATTGAGCGCTCTGGCTACCTAAGTTTCAAGTCACTTTTACTACAAATTAAAAACCTTTACTTATAAATTGATAATAATAATGATAATAATATATATTCTGAAAATAATATTTACAGAATTCACACCAGTTTACAGGCATGATCAGATTGTTATAAAAATCAACATTTAATGTAGAGAGCAAACATGAAATATTTGAAAGTTTTATGTTTGCTGGTTTAGTAATTGATAAATAGTTGAACCGTTATTGAAAAGAACAGCTAAATCAGAAATGAGACTTTCCAAGGATTAATCTCTTATCAGGGGATTTCTTTGTCCGCTCAAAATACGTAGATAATGTCGTATTATTTGGCGAAGACCGGCAAATGTAGAATCTTCCGACCACCATGAACAACAGCCGGAGATTTTTGGATTGCATTTTTCTCCATCTCAGTTTTAAAAGTGTATTAAGGACAGACTTCAGCCAACCTCTAGGCTAAAATTACGGAAATAAGCAATTGAGCTCCTCAACCATTTTATCTGTTTTACAGCTTTGGTCACTCATGTTGGTTTAGTACTTGACGAAGTCCTGACAAGCATTCACAAAGGGTCGTTAGCTCTTGCTAATCGGCATCACTTGTGATGTGGGGGAGATGTTCGTCTACCGGCCAAGAATGAATATATGGTGCATCAGTTTCTTCTGTTTCTGTTTATGACTATAAAACATTGCCTTGAAAATTAGAGGAAATTCAAAGTTTGTTGATATTTGATCATAAGTGTCTCCAAACATTTGAACCACTGGGTGAGTATTAGTAGAAACGGGAATCCAGTCACCAAGGTTGTAGATATTCATCAAGTTATTAAATTGAGATATGTCTAACTATCTCCCACCTATATGTGCAATGTTGGCTGGATTAGGATCAGGTTGTAAAGAGACTAATAACAGCCTAACCAACAAATGGTGTCAGTCTATGAAGTCAGTGACGGCTGATTTGGTTCATATTAGCAGGTGCAGGTTTTCTTATCAAGAGACCAGCAAATTACGTATTTCTTCTTGAATCGTATTGTATATATCTAGCGTGACTTTGTTAACACCGATACTGGTGTAGTGAACAAGAAAGCAGGTGAGGGAAATCAACTTACTGATTAATGCACAATTACATAATAATTTTCGTATAATATGAAAACCATACATTAAGAATCATTATTTGCAAATATCCCTTCAATTGTCCCTTACATACTTCTTGATTCTTCCAGTTCTGTTGTAATTCCAATTGCTTTCCGTTTCCCTTCTTATTCACCCCAATTCAATTTTCTGCTGGCAGGCATCCCATTTGCGGTTGCTGCTACATACTAACTATATCTGTCAGCATAAACAACATAAACTACACTAGTACTACCTTTACTTCTTCAATATTTGCTTAGATAATTCCATCTTGCTGCATGAATTTGGTGTGGTAAGTCGAGCCAGCACATATACAACATTCTGCGTTGCTTTTGATCAAGTTTATGTTATATTTCACTCAATAACTATTCAGCGTTAATAAATTCGAAAACTTCAACTTCTGCATCAGATTAACTGACAAAAAAAATTTAGTTGGCTTTAGAGTTGATATCTGATTTATCTTTGTTCGTGTTTACACCTTTCTATCTTTTCAAAATTTATTATCCAGTCAAAAGTATTTATCACGCCAATTCCAATAATTTACAGATGAATTAGGTATTGGCTGACAAGATAAATTAACATCTGTTCATTATTTAATATGGAGAGCAAGAACGAAGATTGGTGAACCGATGTTCGTTCTTCCTCTCCTTAAGATAATAAAGGGAATTATACGTATGACATTATTAACTAAGTTGTTTTTAACTTGATGGGAAGGATGCCAAGATATCTCGTCATTCTCTCTCTCTCTCTCTATGTATATATATATATACCTAGTATCCGTTTCCTAACAACTGCATTACTTACTCGGTGGTTCCAGGATATACGAGCAATGCTTCGAAGACATCTATGATCGAATACTAGTAGCCTACGAATATCCTCTACTCTTACCGGCTATGTTTCATTGCCATAAAGTAGGACGGAACGAACTGCTGCACAGTAAACCTGTCCTTTGGTTGCTAGACGGATATCTCGCCTACGTCATAAATGTCGCAAGTTGGTGAAAGCTAGACGAGCCTTCTGTATCCGTGCTGAGATTTCGTTACACACCAGACCATAAAGGCTGATGAGACTCCCAAGATAAGTGAAGCTGTCAACACGCTCAACTACTTCACTCCCTATCATTAGTTCGGGTGTCGATGCAACCCAATCCTGAAGTAACATTTTGCACTTCGTGGGGGGAAATTCGCATTCAACATACCTGAATAGTTGCTTATAGTGGTCAGAAGACTCTGCATTTTGTCAGCGTCTTCATCAAATAGAACTATGTCATTGGCATATTCTAAGTCAACAAGTGAATCTCCGGTAAAAGTTCAACTCCAGGAGATTGTGATGATGAAAGTGTTATCTCCAAAAGCATGTCGATGACAAAGTTAAACAAGAATGTGGAGAGTGGACAGCCCTGACGAACATCACTTGAGGCAATCAATTCAGATGACAGTTCGCTATTGGCTCTAACTCGACCAGTTATGTTCGAGTAGAGAGCCTTCATGAGGTTAATGTACTTCTTTGGTACTCCTTTCAGTGACAAACACTGCCATAGAACCTCACGATCAACGGAATCAAATGCCGCCTTAAGGTCAAGAAATACTACAATTATGGGGCGTCTGAATCTGTGTCTATGTTCTAGGATTTGACGTAGAGTGAATATCTGGTCTATACAACCACGTTCAGGTAGAAAACTAGCCTGGTTTTCTCTAGTCTGCTCTTAACGAGATTTAGTTAGGCGTATTATTGAAGCTAATATTTTAGACACTATATTAGTCAAACTGATTCCTCTGTGATTGTCACAAGAGGAATTTCGTTCTTTCTTGTAGACTGGCACGATCAGTGATTGGGACCAGTCAAATGAAATTACGTCCAGTTCACATATTCTACCTAAGAGCTCAGTCAATCTCGCTGCTAGTACTGGACCGCCATCCATAAAAATCTCAGGGGTAAACCTGTCAAAGCCTGCTGCTTTCCCACGTTTCAGATTTCCTATAGCTTTTTCAACCTGGTAAAGAGTTGGAGGACTTACACCAAATTGCCATTCAGGAAGACTGGGTTTCGTGGGTAACTGAAGTGTGGCTGAAGGCCAGTTGAACTGATCCCTAAAGTTTTCTGCCCATCGATCCAATCTCCTGTATTGAGAATGAATAATATGTCCATCTATTTCCGAGATAGATTCGCTAACAGTTGGGTTCCTAATACCGGTTTCCTTAACAAGTCTGAACAGTTTTCTGCTCTTGTCTATTGCCACTGCCTTTTCCATCTCTCTTGCTTTTGCCACCTACCACTGTTCGCGATCACTGCGTAGGCTTCTTGTTAGCCTGCTCTTCAGTTGACTCCGCTCTTCGTTATTTTTAAAGCCAGATGGGGTGGGTTTTCGAGCGTCTATCAGTGCGGTAGATGCTGCTGAGATCCAGTGTTTCTCCATAACTTTATGGTTTACCGTATTAGCAGATATCACTGCTGTTCACACAGCTTTCAGGATGTCATTGCACACTGCCTTGGGGTGGGCACAACTTACATGGCTGCCTGTTTTTCTAGTTGTTCCTGAAATATATTCTTATCTTGACCATCATTAAGTGGAACCTTAAGAGGCTAACTCGCAGCGTCTTTTTTACGTCCAGTAAGACGCAGACAGATACGTACTCGCACTAGAGCATGATCTGAATCTAAGCATGTGCTTCAGAATGAGCGACAGTCTTCTATCGAACCCCTCCATCTGTGGCTGATGGCGATGTGATCTAGTTGGGTCCAACGTTGGGACGAATTTGGGGGTCGACATGTCAAAAGTTGTTTTTCCTTGTGCCGAAATTTAGTATTTGCAAGAAACAAGCGTTTATTTGGACATAGCTGCAACAGATGATCGCCATCATCTGTTCTTTGAGCCACGACACCATAAGATCCATCCAGGTGTCTTCCCCTTTGGCTTAGTTTACCTACTTGAGCATTAAAGCCACCAATCACTATCACTACGTCAGAGCGCCTAGCTTCCGGAGAAGGTTGAAAAGCTTTCTGTAAAACTCCTCTTTTACATCATCTGAGCAGGAGTCAGTGGGAGAGTAGGCGGAGACGACGAAGAGGCAACGAAGAGTGTCCCTATCTTTCCGAGTCCTTACTGTTCCGTTCAATCGGACAGCGCACAGACGACTGTCTACTGGGATCCAGTCCAAAAGAGCTAGTTCTAGCCTAGGACTCAATGCTATACCTACGCCAGTGGTGCTACGGGAAGCAGCATCAGGGCTTCCAGATACACGAAGAGTGAATCGAGTTACTTCTTTATTATGACATGGTGAGGTCAAACGAATGACGTAACTCGGATCTTGCATGCGCGTTTCGGAGATGCAGCACACATCTATGAAGCGAGATTCTAAAGTCCTAGCTAAGGTAGCATGTTGTCCTATTTGGTACAATGTTCGGACATTAAAAGTTCCTACATGTAGTTTGGAACGTGGTTTCAGGAAACAGGGAATAACGTTCCGCGTACTCGAATCGTTCGCCCTAGCGGTGCGAGGTCATAAAGGGACGTGAGAAGGGTTAGTCGTGGAGATAAGAGAGTTATTAGGAGGTGTAGTAATGATTTGAATGTGACCAACTTCGTCTCGTATGCTGTTACGGGTATGAGGGCTAATATCACTTCCCGACTGCCCACACTGTGGAAGGGTAAAACTTGAGGGACCTGAAAAGGAAGTTGGATTAGTGTTGGTCTTAACGACTTGGGGGTGTGACCGCAGAGTTCAAAGGACAACTGCTTGAGGCCGGTCACGCACGGCATTTCTGTGGGAGGTTTTTGACGCGTTAGCTCCATTCTTCAATGGGCCTTACCGCCGGAGACGGAAATCCTTGAGGTAAGGTGAGATATGACATTTTTGGGGTCTAACTTTCCTAACCTCTTCCTTTCTAGTGAGAAGGCAGCATCGTTGAAGATGCTGATCGTTCGAGGGAAACACCTTACTGCTGTCACACCCCTCTACAGTCAGCACTATGACTTCGCTCTCAGATCTTGAGTTGATTCTTTTAGTCTTACCGTTCTACAATCGACCTGCCTGGCATGGTAGAACCTAAAGGAACATATGTTCCAGCCGATATAGCTCGATAGGGCCACCACGATAGGCATGCCTAACTAGCATGTCAAAGTAGCAGCTGTATATGCTGTATATGAGTATGGATGAATGCGAGATTCCAATTATTACTGATGGATTCAGTTTTTGTTTGTATTAGTAACCTGTTAATTATCAGGTTGTTTAATATAGTCACCTTTTGTAAAATGAGAAATGTTCACTACATATACACAATATGTTATTTTAACACTTTTCGTTTCACATCACAGGTCTCTTACACACTAATACAAATACCTACTTTAAACATTTTTAACGCTGATTGGATGACCTATTCAGTGTACAGTGAACCGGAGAGCCATGTAGCTATTTCGATGTTTGATTATATTTCCTTGAAAAATGTTGGACCAGGTTGCCAGGCAAAACGTTGAATTTACTTCAAATTCATTGACCGAGATTTTACAAATATATTCTTCCTATTTAGTGTTTACTACACAATTTTCATTTTGGGATTAAATTTGCTTCACGACAATGGTTGTCCTTATGTTGTGTTGTACTATTGGAAGATTAGTTTTATGAAATGAAGTAAAACGAAATTCAGATTATAATTTCAAATTTCTAACTCTTTTAAAAATAAGCAAATGTGTGAACAATCACAAACTTTGAACTTACATGGTCAAATAGTTCAAATATTTTTGCACTTGGTTGATGTATTGTACAAATTATTGTTCGACCACCACGTGCCAAACGACGTAACAATGAGATGCAATGAAAACATGAAGCACTATCCAAACCACTGAAAGAGAGAGTGTTTGAGTGAGATGAAATTCTCGTTTCTGACTATTCATTGATCAATAGTGGAGTAATTACAATGATGAAGTCGGTATATTCGGAAAGATTTAAATTTCTATGTTAATAAATCTCTTCTTGTTCACAGTCGCACTGACTTAAGCCTACAAAAAGTCCACCATATATCGACATTCTATCGTTTAACCATTACTTATTGCTATATCCCAGTATATCTCAGTATATTCATAAATTTTCACAGCGAAGTGTTCAGAATACCTTGGGTTAGACAGTTATGAGATCAACTGCAAGCTTTTAGATGAAAATAAAAATTTCAAGTTTCCCATGTTGTTTCTTTGTAACATGATTTGTTCTCAACAAATATCTTTGAAAACTCAACGAAACATCGGAGAGATCATTTAAACAATAAATTTCCTAGCGATGATCCCATTTAAATATCGTTAGACGATAAATGTAGATTGCTTTAAAAAACAGAATAGATTCCAACAGAAAAATCTAGATCTGTAGGAAGTGTTTATTAGGATTAACAAATTCATTGTAACGGTTATCCCAAAACCTAAAATGTTCTCACAAAGCTGGAGATGCCTTGCACTCTACTGAAGTCATAGAAACGATAACTGAACCACCCAAGCTTACTCTGAGTTGGTACTGAATAATCTCAGTCCGATAATCTAAGGTGCAAAGACTATCGAAGTTTCGTTAGAAAAATGACAACAATCATTCAGAGTATATCAGATTGTATTTGCTACTTCAGATTAATTTCAATGATTATTTCACTACGCATTTCTTATATTTTCATGTACGACTCTTAAGCAGTAAACGAACTAAACTTTTAACAATCAATTATTCATATTTATCTTCGATCATCATCGTAATCTCCAATATCTTATAGGAGCATGTTAAAAACAAATTCTCCACATTGAAAGTACAGGACATTTTTAAAATCATAGTTTACTTTAGGTAAGGGATTATGTATATTATATTTCCGTAGCCTTGACAACAGGTTACATGCATATATATATATATAGACTAGGATCATTTTTCAAGAATATCTAATTTCACATCTATACAACCATTTTCAGAATAGCCTGTTTGCAACGAAACCTCTCAAGCTAATTATTGAATTAAGTGGACAGTCAATTATTTTTATTTATTTATTTACCTTAAAGAAAGCTTCATTCACGAGACAGAAAATGTCTTATAAAATATTTGGAGGGGTTTTGTGGAGATTTGGTATGTTTCATAGTTGAAAGCATGAGTCAATTGAAGTTAGAACACCGAGGAAAACCTGGGAACACTGGACGACCGTTTCGTCCTATTATGGGACTCCTCAGCAGTGCGCATCCACGAACCCGCTCTCGCGAGATTCGAACCCAGGACCTACCAGTCTCGAGCCGAAGCCCTTAACCGATAGACCACTGAGCTGGCATCCAACGGTGTTAATGTCTAACTTCAACTGATCCACGAAGTTGAGCAACCATTCACCAATTGTCATCAGTGAGTTCCTATCTCACGACAGACGTGGTTTGTACTCCACTGGTCACTGCTTCTCCACAAAACCCCTCCAAATAATTAATATAATCATATGCTCACTAGTGACTTCGAGAAGTATATCCAGGAGCTCTAGTGAGAAGCAGTGACCAGTGGAGTGCAAACCACGTCTGTCGTGAGATAGGAACTCACTGATGACAATTGGTGAATGGTTGCTCAACTTCGTGGATCAGTTGAAGTTAGACATTAACACCGTTGGATGCCAGCTCAGTGGTCTATCGGTTAAGGGCTTCGGCTCGAGACTGGTAGGTCCTGGGTTCGAATCTCGCGCGAGCGGGTTCGTGGATGCGCACTGCTGAGGAGTCCCATAATAGGACGAAACGGTCGTCCAGTGTTCCCAGGTTTTCCTCGGTGTTCTAACTTCAATTGACTCATGCTTTCAATTATAAAATATTGTTAAGCATAAAATTAAATGTAGAATTATTTTAATTGTGTTGCTGTTATGATTACTTGGGTGAATTGGTAAATATTGAATTGATTTAGATGATTAGGCTAATAATTCTACGTAGCCAATGAGCACCGAATCACAACCGAACAGGCTTTTTAGAGACAGAACCACCAGCCCAACTATTAGTGTGAATATGCATTAATAGAATAAAGCAAAGTATAGAAAAATTCAAGAAAAATAAATGACATGAGAATGGTTTGTTTAGCAAATAGCGAACAGTTAACCAAGTATGAAATTAATGATATACATGGTATACATTGATGTACGTGTAATAAGAATACCATAGAACAATGAGAAGATGGATCTGATCTGGAAAATGTGGTGCATTTACGCCAAACATTTTGAACAATCTGGTCACACATATACTTATCAAGACATTTTACATTGAAACGAATAAAGGTCAATTAAATGAAAGTTTAAGTGAACAAAGTAGTAATTGTAAATAAAGGAGAGAAAATTAACGATTAGGAAATTGTAGCATTATCCCACTCTTTAAAATGACTTAAAGATTAGTACGCCAAATCTAACGTTACAACTAATTGTTACTGCACGCATATGAGGAGTTTGAATCTACGAATAACCAAAGCTTCTATAAATCTAAGAATCCGTCCTTGACGATTTCAATGCAATATTCTGAATGCTGTATTGATGCCAATTCTAAGTTCCGTCTCAGTTGTATGCTCTCTTATCGATGAATATGGTTTCCTAATTTCCACATTTATAGGAACACATGACACAAACTGATTTTGACGCCATCTCGGCACATGTTTCATAATCCTTGACTTCATTGTTCGATTGGTCCTCCCTATGTAGTCTGTCCACATCATATATAAATTGGTAAATACAGTTGGATGTGACGTAATCAACCGCACAATGTCAAGGTCTATCTCGAGTAATGGGTTTAGTTCTTTTGATCATAATTATTTAAACAGAGCAATATGTTTTCTCGAGGACTGGTATTAGCGACGGAGGTTTTCTAAAGAACTTAAACTTATGACTAAACGAACTGAATTACAATAACTTAATTTAAAAAAAAGCGGAGCACATAAGACGAGTATAGAAGATTGGTTAAAACTTAGACTTTTGGAAATATAATTGTTAACTAAGATACGTAGGATGGGGTGAACAAAGTCGATCTTAAAATGCTCACACGTTTGAATAGGAAAATATAAGAAATAGGTAGCGTCATATAAAATAGTTTTTGAGTTTCACCCAATGTTAGTGAAAACTTCCACAGCAGGCTGATTGAATAAAGCAACCATTTGTCGAAGGAACCAATACTTTAAACTTACTAACTTCGGTCTAAGCAAGTGAGGAAATTTCCACTTTCGATTAAAATAAGAAAGAAGGATAGAACCTATTTGTTTCAGAGTTGATCAGGTAAAGTCATGATGAGTAACCGATAATCTAATAGTATTGTGATATGCTGAATAATGCTCTGAAATAACATAACTAAGTGATTAACTATGGAAAACTCTTGAGAACTCCAATAATCAACTTCGTTACATCTCTGAATATCATAAAAAGAATACTTACTTGGGAGAAACTAAGATACGTAGAAATTTTCTTAGGTAAACAGAAAAGTCATCATAATTCAAAATATGCTTAGAAAGTGTTGTATCCCGAAGAGAATTACGAATGGTAACTTTTGAGGACTATTTATTGGTCAATATAATATGTATATTTCCTATTGTAATTAACCTAATCATATTCGTTTCCTCTTATCACTAACTTTATTTTGACCTTTGCACTATTATTATACGATCCTTCAGTTATCATCAGTTTATTGATTACTATTCACAGCCACATTCGGTTAAATATTGTACAAATGTTATTATCTATTTTATGGGTCGATATGGTTTGTTTGGTTGGTATATAAACTCAGTATGTTTGAAATACAATGATTCATACCACTGAGGCTGTTATTGGTGTTTTGGACTTAACTGGTTGGGCTAGGCAGATCGCAGGACCGGTTAGCACTGTAGACTGCTCGTACGGGTTTCGTGTCACTGTTCCAATCGACAATTCGCTGCTCCCTGATTGGCGGTTCTATCGCGTCATACATTAACTAGTCATTCACTCGGCCACAAGCATAACAGAAAGCCAACCACTTCTCTAAATTGCGTAAATTCTGTCAACAGCTTTAATTTTGACAATAATAGAGGTCTTCTAAAATGTCGTATTATTAAGCTAGTTCAAATAAAATCCAACTACGGTACACTAAACACTAGCTCTGTTCCACGTCCCCTATAAATTTCAACTCACCTATTGTGACCAGCAACCTCATATTGGAAAAGAAGGAACTTTGTTTTTTGATTGTTAGAAGGGGTTTTGTGGAGATTTTAGTATTTTCATAGTTGAAAGCGTGAGTCAATTGAAGCTAGAGACTGGTAGGTCCTGGGTTCGAATCTCGCGAGTGCGGGATCGTGGATGCGCACCTCTGAGGAGTCCCATAATAGGACGGAACGACCGTCCAGTGCTTCCAGGTTTTCCATGGTGGTCTAGTTTCAACTTTGTTTTTATTTTTAGCAAAGCGCGTACTAATTTTTAACTGATTAAAACAGAATTGCTAACCAAAGGAACACTGGCTACGCTATTCACATAAAATAGTGAAAGTCAATAAGGCAATTTTATTTCATTTTTATGTGTTCAAAAGACAAACCAAAAGCCTAGTAATACTTATTTATCTTCAAACCAGCTAAAAGTAGGTTACTGAGATCTAAATAATGAGTGACTCATTGTTTACAATCTAGTTTTCAGTGGACTTATGACTGTTTTATACATTTTATCGTCATAAATTTTTTAACTGATATATTTATTTATTTCCTCGAAAATCGTAACCTAGTGTGAGGGACTACTGTATTATTTAATAATCTGAATCTATGTGAAGGTGGTAAAATGAGGCCATAATAATAATTCCAAAGGAACTTATTCGACTGCTTAAACCACGAAGTCAGTAATAACTATCACTTACCATTTGAATTATATCT